TCAAAACCCCTTCCATTCCTAATTATATATAAAATTTATGAGTTTTAAAACCTAAGAAAAAAATTTACGTTTACTTATCATCATTTATCATCCTGTCAATTTACTGATCAGGAGACATTTCAAATACTTTCAGTGGAGAATTCAGTACCCACGTCAATCAAATCATCAATTTCAAAATCTTATTATTTATTTGTGGAGATTTTAATGCTCCTAGATCCCGCAAAAGCACTGAGAAACAATTTCAATCAACAATAGAAGTCCTTGGAATTATTCAAAATGTCAAGTCTTGCATACATTCTCATGAAATGTGTTAGACTTTGTAATCTCAAGCGGTTGTAATAAGTACAGAATAAGCAAGGTTTTCTTTTATTTTCTGATCACAATCTAGTAACTTTCAACACCACACTCTACAAGTCTATGCCTTCTGTCATCATTTGTCATCATCGCAATTTTTTTCACTTTACGTCTATCAATTAAAGCTATCGTCGCTTTATTAAAAATAAAATACTTTGACATAAAATTGCACAGCACCGACTATTCAAACTTTCTTGGTAGTTTCGATTGCATAAAGATTGGTTCCCTTAAAAAATGGGTAGAAAACATGCATTCGAAATGAACCCAGAATTACTAAGATTAATAAAATTAAAACATGTTTACTGGAAGCGGCCTACAAGTATGGGCTAAATTTCATTGGATTGTTCAGGTTTAACAAGAGAAAAAGGAGAAAAGTTATCAAAACAAGGTCTGATTGAGATTCCTATAGATTTTAAATCAAATCCTAAATTATTTTAGAAACAGGTAAAAGTTGTCAGACATGTTAAGGATAAGGTTGGTTCATTAATACCTAATGGTAGACATTTTTCTGACAACAAAGAAAGGGCTGAAATTTTGGCAGACTATTTGTCATCCGTTTTCGTGATGATTTGCCGTTTTCAGATGATGGTACATTCAATGTTCCTCCAATCGCAAAAAAGGGTATGTCAAAGTTAATCATTAATGATAAAACAATAATATATACAAAAGAGGGTATGTTTAAGTTAATCATTAATGATACAACAGTCTTCGATAAGCTTGGTAATATCAACCGAAATAAGTTTTCTGGTCCTGATGAAATTAACCCTAGAATTTTGTTTGAAACAAAACTTGAAACATCTAAGTTTTTCAATATTTTAATTTATCCCTAGACAGTGATGTTATTCCAAATGACTGGAATCATCTTTTGTAGTGCCTTCACTCGAAAAGGGTAATAAAAGCTTACCATCAAACTACAGGCCTATTGCATTGGCACCAATTGGTTGCAAGCTAATGGAATCAATTCTGGCTGATCATATAAAAAGTTTTTTTTCAGAGTACAACTCATTCACAAATAGACAATATGGTTTTTTTCCATTTTGTTCCATCACGTTGAAGCTTTTAAAATTTATGGATGAGGTAACTTCTTCAGTTGTGGGTGGCAGGTATGGGTACAGATGTCATTTACATTGATTTGGAAAAGGCCTTTGACACAAATTATCGCTCCAGATTATTAAGTTGCAGAAATGTAAAGTTTATGTCAATATAATAAGATTAATTGAAAGCTTCTTCAACAGAAGATCGTATGGTATTGGTGTAAAAGGCCAGTTGTCGACCGCTAGACTTATCTTTAGTGGAGTTCCTCAGGGTGAAATGCTCAGTTTACTTGTGGTCTTTATTTATGTCAATGACATATACTCAGTCTGCCAAAATATATTTTTTATTAGATGACCACACTAAGATACTAAGATATTCGGTTCGTTATCTGGATCTCATGATGGAGATGTGTTGCAACCACTTAATTTGGTATATCTGCATTATTCGTCTTTTTTTGTTCATGACCTCCATTTTAACCCGCTGTCTCGCCTTGATTACTGTAACTCTTTCATCAGGAGCTCTATCTCCTATAATATGTTTTTTCCAACAAATTCTCAGTAAACTTGCCAAACTTGTCTTTCATCAAGCTCATCATGCGTTTTCTGCCTATATTGGTTACAAATTTGTCAACACATCACATCAAAATTGCAACAATTTTGCAAAATTGCAAAACACTTAACACGTTTCGGACACCATATCTCCATCAATTGTTCATTTTTGATCAACTGTTTATCTTCATAAACATACATTATCTTCGCTTAGTCTCATCAAATTGTCATCAAGTCTCGTCAACAGAAGTTACTCTCATAGTTCACCTTCATTTTGTAATAGGTTGCCTATCAACATTCATACCATTCGAAATATTGAAAAATTGAACCAGAAATTGATCAAAGCTGAAAATGCGGTGATATTTCTTAAGAAATATTTTGTATGATATTGTAAAGTATTTGTACGTTGTACTTGTAAGTCTTCAAGTACAAGTACATTGTTAAAACACACGTACAAGTATTAAGTGTCAGGTATTAGTACTTAAAATTGGTCCTCGAATACAAGTACCAAGTACAGGTACAACATTTACAACAGATATTACAAAAAAGAAAATTAAATTAAATCAACAAAATCTATATCAATAATACATAATCGATAACAACAACCACAAAAAAAAACATCAACAACAATGACAACGTTATTAAAAAAAATCAGAAGACATAAAAAAATCTCTTGTCAGAAAGTTAACCGATAACCGTACTGAAACGCCGTAAATAGTCAAAATAAGAAACAAATAATGTAAATTAATATAGTCAACTAGCTAATTAATTAAATGAGTTATAACATAAAACCAAATTTTTTAATTCAAAATGAAATACAATTTATCTGATGTAAAACAATTTGAACTTAGTGGATAATTTATGACGGTCTTTTATAGGTATATGACTAGTATTACATTCAAACATGCAAAATAATTTTTTACGACAGCCTATTTTAGCCTATTTTGAAATTACCGTTATGCACAAAGATTTATATTTTGTCACTTTTCTATACAATTTTTGATACGCATTTTTTTCCATTTTCAGGAATGTGACCAATGCAAAAGGTATGTTTTAATATATTTAATAATTAATATGTGATCTGTTGTTTATTAATTCAGTAATATCATCATCATGTACGCGTATAGGCGCTCAGCTTTCCAGGATTTGTTCCAGGGTTCTCTGACAAATACACCGAGTTGACTTTTGTCGCATGATCACGCACATTTAATCGTCTTTTCTATTCATCTCTATTCTGGACCAGTTTTGGTTTCAGCCCCTGTGCTCTCATATCCTTTGACAACACTTCCCAATTTTCCCATTTTTCCTCTCAACATTTGCACTTTTGTTCTTATTTTTCTAGGTGCCAGTATCATTTCGCTTATCATTTCAACTTACATCTTTTACAAACAAATTCCTTGCTGTTTTTGAGCTTCCTTTCAAACCACTGCATCGTTTGGGCGTCCATTTATCACATTTTACAAATAGTATAATATATATATATATATATATATCATCTGCTGTCTGCCAGCCCAGGGCGGCAATAACTAGTCACAAACAGCCTCCATCTTCTATCTTTTGTCATTTTTCCGGCTTTTGCGATGTGTGTTTTTTATTTTGAAGTCTTCTTTGATGTTGTCAGTCCGAGTCTTTTTTGAATGACCTATTGTTTTCTTAACCTCCACATAGTTAAATAAGTCCATATATGGTAATTTTTCTAACTTCATCCTGTTCACATGTCTAAACCAAGTTAATCTTCTTTTCCCGATTTTTTCTATTATGTTGCTCCCTTCACCAAGTTTTTTTCTGATGTTGTCGTTTTTTATTTTTTGGATTCTACTTACACCCTCGATCTGTCTCAGACAATTCATTTCGGCTGCTAAAAGTCTGTTTTCATATGTCTTTTTAATTATCCACGTTTCTGATCCATAGATCATCTGTGGAACAATGACAATTTCATATATCTTTCTTTTGGTTGATAAACTTATGTCTTTTGCTTTCCATATATGTTTTAAGCGCCAAGTTGTTTTGTAGAGCTATTCTTATTCTTCTTTTTATGTCTTCCTGGTAACTGGGTGCTTGCCAGATAAAGTTTTCCACTACCTCCAGTACATCAGAATTTAGTTTAATTTGGGGTTTTCTGTTTTTTTGATAGTTGACTGCCATCACCTTTGTTTTTCTGTGTTAATAGTTAATCCAAATTTTTTACTTGCTTTGTTTACTCTTGTGATAAGGTTTTGTAAATTTTTTTCAGTTTCAGTCGGTAATCCAACATCATCTGCAAATTTTAGATTGTTTAGCTTTGTGCCTCCACATTTTACTCCAACGTCTACATTTTTCAGAGCGATTTGGAATACTTTTTCCAGCATGATGATAAATAGTGTTATGGATAGATCTTACTTCCACCTCGATGTTAAACCAGCCTGAAAGTGCATTATCTACTTTCACAACACTTAAATTAAATTAATTTGATATATTGCTTTGATGAGTATTATTAGTTTCTCTTCTATTCCTGCATTTCGCATTGCCTGCCAAAGTCTTTCATGCCATACTGAATCAAAAGCTTGTTTATAATTCATAAAATTGATAAAACAGGTTTTGTTTGCATCAATATACTTTTCCACAATTTTGTCGAATAATTGATCAACAGTGCTTCTGCCTGGACGAAATCCTGCTTGCTCTTTCCTCATAATTTCTTCAACGTAATTCTGCAGTCTTCTCTCAACATTTTAGTGTAGACCTTGCCATGTATGCTCAGTAGTTTTTACAATCTGTTTTGTCTCCTTTCTGTTTATATATAGGAATAATTTATCTTTTCTCCCAGTCTGCAGGTATCATCTCTTGGTGGAATATTATTTGTATTAGTTCATGGAGTGCTTTAATTATTGTTTTCTTTCCCCCTTTAAGCATTTCTGAGCTTGTTTCATCTATACCTAGGCGCCTTATTTTTTTTTAGGTCATTTATGGCTTTTTTTACTCTTCCTCGAGAAAATTTTCTGTTCTTATTTTGTTTCTCATATTTGGAATTTTTTCCAGACTTTTAGTTTCTACTTCCAGTTTGCAAAAGGTTTTTAAAATGTTTTTCTATTTTTTCAGAATTTCTTTGCACTCTGTTATTATCTTCCCATCTCTATCTTTTGTTGTGTATCTTTCAAATCCCTTTATTACAAGATGCAGACCTCCCGTATAATTTAAAGTTCTTACATTCCAGTGTCCTATTTCAATGATTTCTTTCAGTTTTAATCTGTCTCGGTACTCAGTATCTGATTTATCGCTAAGTTCCCAAGTGCCCAAAAACTCAGCGCGGTACGAGCCGGTATGATATTTAGTATCCTTTTTATATATGTCTCTCAAAATTCTTTTGACCTTCCATAGCCATGTTTTCATTGAGCACTGGCTGAGAATTCTCAGTACATCGAGCTGACCAAAGCATATCTTAGCCAGAGTATTGCCAACTGCCTACTCGCCTGCGTTCGAAAATTGGTGCAATCCCAGTCTAAAATTTCTCATCCGCCACCCAGGAGACGCGTCTCAATGATGTTGTACCCCAATCAATCAATCAATCAATCAATCTTCGTTTAGCGTCCAGAGACCCAGTTCTCCCGAGGTAGGACGTTGTTTTCTTTGCCATCAATTTTGTGCGCAAAATTAGAAGATCAGTTGTATGCATTTCATTTAAATTTAGAGCTTTCATGTCTTGCTCGATTGTTTGTGACCAGGACTTCTTTTAACGGCCATTTGGGACGTGTGCCAGGTACTTCAACATCTGTAAGAGAAGTAATGGCACTGTTTCCACTTTGTTTGACATGACCAAACCACCTCAAACGGTGTTGCCGGCATTCGTCCTTTATATCATCTAAACCAGAACGACGCAGGATTTCGGTTGATTTGATGTGGTCCTTCAGACTAATTCGTTGCATTCATCGGAACATTTTCATATCAGTTCGTAGAAGTTGTTGTTCCTGTTTGGATGTCATTTGCCATGTTTCTGCACCATATAACATCACAGATTTATAGTCTTGATCGTAGTGGTAGTGGGATGTCACGCCGCATCAATATAGAGGCAAGGAGATGCCATTTATTCCAGGCTGAACGTATGCGTGCATAAACGGCAGCTTCAGCTGTTCCAGTACAATCCAGAACATCCCATAGATATTGAAACGATGTGACTTTCTTTCTCTTAATTGCTTCCAAAAACATTGCTATTTCGAATTTGTTGTTGTGGATTGATGCAAGCAGGACAAACAAAATTGGACACTTTAGATAAAGTACCAATTATTTTTGAACAACTTTTGTGACACCACTGGTTACACTGCTGACACTTGATTGAATTGTTACCTACACCAGCTTTACAAACTGAACGGGGCCATCGTCCAGTAGCTGTGGATTGGATGGGTTCACCAGTGTTCATTGCTTTGGTTTTGCTGATGTTGACTTTGAATCCATGATCGGCGAGTCTGCTGTTCAAATCTTCAAACATCTGTGCTGCATTCTATTCAGACGTGGCTGTTAAAACAATATTATCAGCATATACTAGATTCCAAATGTCACCAGTGCGTTTTGGTTTTGTGATTTTTTCCATCACAATTATAAATAACAGTGGACTGAGAATCGAGCCTTGGTGAACTCTAACGCCTATGTCAAATGCATCTGTGTTTCCAACCGTTGTGCTGACGGGAGTCTTAGTATTAGTCTTAGTATTCGTATACATTTCCATCACAAGTCGAACAAGATATTCTAATGAGTTGTCGACATAGACTCCACCTGATTGCTTCACGGGGAACACGGTCAAATGCTTTTTCAAGGTCTACAAAAATGTGTGATAGTTGTTGATGCTTTGCGAGGTACTTCTCTTTCAGTTGCCGAAGGATGTGAATTGCATCAATTGTTGATTTCCCCTCTATGCAACCAAATTGATAATTTCCGTTTGTGATGCACGGCGTTAATCTTCTCTCAATGATTTTTTCGACAATTTTTAGGGAATGTTCAATGGATCACCTTTGTCTTTGTTTAGCGGGGCTGTCATGCTTTAGTTCCATTCAATCGGCATTGAGCAATTTCTCCACACATCACGGCAAAGTTGTAGTAACGTTTGGATACCTGCAGTACCAGATGCTTTGATAATGTCATTTGTGAGTCCAGAGGGCCCAGTTGCCTTACCATCCTTCATAGCATTCAGAACTTCTGTAAGCTCCTCTACAGTGGTGTCTGGAATCGGATCTTCGATGGGTGGATCGTCAAAGTTGACATTGATGTGATTTGTTTCATTTAACAGACTGTTGAAATATTCTTTCCACTGTAGCTTGATCTCATACTTTATATGATTCATAAAACGTTTTTTTGGTAATAATATCTTGAAAATAATTTCGCGTTTGATGGTTTTCAGAAATTTATAACATTTTATATTTTTTTAACAAAAATTAATTTTTTGTATTCATTCCAGATTACAGAAAAATAGAGCTTTTTGCTACTTTTGTTATTTTATTCAGCGATTGCCAATGTGTGCTCATTGTGGTTTGTAATATTTTCTGTATTCAAATTTTTATAAATGTTGCCACAGTGGAAGTTCTCTAGAGGGGGCATCGTTGAGGAATGATCAAACTATACTTCTCTTTAACTTTTCAGACTGAACATTAAATTTCAATTATAATATGTATTATAATAAACCTTTTTTTTAATGTATTTATTTCTATCTTATATATTGTTATAACCGCGGGAATGATCGGATTGCGCTATATTATTTATTATTCAATTATTGTTATCTTTGTAATCTTTGGGTTGTAAACCATAGAGTGTAAAAAAAATAGCGTATCTATGATTGTAAAGTTGGTTATAAATATGACTTACTAGCGAGACTTAGTCAGAGAGGTTACAAGCGAAGAGAAAGCGAAGTCGTAAATGTGATTTATGGAGTTATTTTTTTTGGTTTATTGTTTCTATTACTGTTGGTATTCAGATAAACGTTCAACAAAGTTTGCGTTTAAAGCAGTTTTGTTTATCTAGCTGAAATCTTGAACCTACGGAAAAATGAACTCTTGACGATCGTTGGAAGCTACAACATTGGTGTTGGAAATATAGAGATTAGTGAAGTTAAACAAGCGGTGTTGGTAGTTACGAGGTCATGGATTACAACAATATATAATAGGTTTGACTATGGCCCTCAACTTTATACACAATTTATTATGTTTCATCTCTCCACCACTTAAAGTCCTTTAATAAGACTAACTACCAAAAATGAACAGAGATACGATTACTTACCAACAACTGTCAAAACGCTAACAGACAAACACCGTACTTGTCACACCGGCATCAAACCAACATTGTAGCATTACTTGCATCACTGCTGGATTTTTTTCGTTACAGTCTGTTGTTGGATGTTTATTACAGAGTTTCTATTAATAAAGCCTCTGCCATTCTCAAATTACTTATGGTTGTAATATATCACTTTGGTATTTGAGTTTAATATTTCCCTTGTTATTTTTATTTGGTGTGAATCCATTTGATGATTTTTTATTGCACCATTTTGTGCACTGTATGCATTGTTAACCTTCTTGATAAAGTCGTAGTAAATCCGATATATTATGTGTTTCGGTGCCTACAATCACCGATTTTACAATCAAAAGAATATACTAGATGACTGCTCTTCATTATCGAATCTGGTTTAGTATTGCAATTATTTTTAACAAGGGATGAGGATTTGAATTTTTTATGCAGTATGTTGAACGCAACGTACAATCAAGTAAGTAAAAGTGAACTTACTACCGTCACAAACGCCAACAACAATGATTTTAAAAACTACTCAGATATGACCCGACTAAAACATCTCGGATGCATCACCCCCAAAGGTCGGTTATCTGAATGCATCAATCATCAACGCAGGTTTATCAATTATCCAATCTCAATAAATGTGATCTTGCTATTATACAAATACTGACTTTAATTACAAGCCTATTAACAAAGAAAATTTTGGAGCACTATTTTATTAACATGGAAAAGAATACTTACAAATTACGGTGTGATCTAGACACCGGGATCTTTTAAACTATCTGCTGCTTTTTTACCTCCCAAAAATATAGACTTTGGGATAGGCAAATTGGGATGGGATAGGTCAAAGAGGAGATTATCGAGCATCCGCAAGCTATTGATTGGGCTAACTGCCACAGAATGCATAATAGTTTTCAAATCTTCTCTATGCCGTCATCAAACATCAATCAGTGACCCGTCAACAAAGTTCAACAAACATCAGAAGATGTTTTTTACAAATCCTGATAATTGACCTGTCCATGGTGATTTCCCTCTCGTCCGTATCGTATAGTAAAACCTACTACTTTACTCCTCGGCCTACATCCTGTCGAATTAGCCAACTTCAAAACATTATTGCCTGTCAAATCACTTCATTCTAAAAACTCAGTCGAGGTGGCTTCAACTTCATCGGCAAAACCAAAGCAATGATCACTGGTGAACCCATCCAATCCACAGCTACTGGACGATGGCCCTGTTCAGTTTGTAAAGCTGGTGTAGGTAACAATTCAATCAAGTGTTAGCAGTGTAACCAGTGGTATCAAAAAACGTTGTTCAAAAATAATTGGTACTTTATCTAAAGTGTCCAATTTTGTTTGTCCTGCTTGCATCAATCCACAACAACAAATTCGAAATAGCAATGTTTTTGAAGCCATTAAGGTAAAGAAAGTCACATCGTTTCAATATCTAGGGGATGTTCTAGATTGTACTGGAAGAATTGAAGCTGCCGTTCGAGCACGCATACGTGCAGCCTGGAAAAAATGGCATCTCCTTGACTCTATATTGATGCGGCATGACATCCCACTACCACTACGATCAAGACTTTATAAATTTGTGATACGTCCGGTGTTGTTATATGGTGCAGAAACATGGCAACCTCAATTGAACAACAACTTCAACGAACCGACACGAAAATGCTTCGATGGATGCAACGAATTAGTCTGAAGGACCACATCATATTTACCGAAATCTTGCATCGTGCTGGTTTAGATGATATAAGGACGAATGCCAGCAACACTGTCTGCGTTGGTTTGGTCATGTCAAACAAAGTGGAAACAGTGCCATAATTTCTCTTGCAGATGTTGAAGTACCTGGCACACGTCCTAAAGGCCGTCCAAAGAAGTCCTGGTCGCAAACAATTAAGCAAGACATGAAAGCTCTAAATTTAAATGAAATGGATACAACTGACCGTCTAATTTGGCGTAAAAAGTTGATGGCAAAAAAAACAACGTCCTACTTCGGGAAACTGGGTCTCTGGACTGTAAACGAAAATTGATTGATTGATTGCATCCGTAAGCTCCTCAGCTGGTATGCCCTGAATCGGTCCTCCCACCGGAAGTGCATCAAAGTCCACTCCAATAGAGATTGTTGCATTCAATAACTGATCGATGTAATCTTTCTAGTGATTCTTCACTTCATTCTGCAAGGTTATTATGGTGCCTTTATTATTCTTTATACATGTGGCACCAACTATATCCTTTTTCAGTCTTTTGGCCTGATTTGCTATTCGGTAGAATGACCGAATTTGTCCGCCTTTACTTCCAGACAGCCATACCTTGCATTGATTTGCACGAACTATTGAACCTAACATTTTTGTGTTCTTTGATCGATATGTCTTTCGATCTTCATCAGTCTTCGTCTTCTGCCATTGTTTGAAAGCTGCTTTCTTACTGGCAATAGCATTTTGCACCGTCTTGTTCCACCACGAAGTTTCGCGGTTGTGCTGGCGTTTTGGTCCAGATTTTCCACATACAGCTGTTGCAGCGTTCACTAGGGTGTCCTAAAAATATTTTCAGGTTATGTCTACCTTCTCCAGACGATCCAGCTCTGCCGATACCAACTCTTCGAATTTCTCTCTAAACATGGGTTTCTTCAGTTTCCATGTCTTTATTCTAGTAGGCATTCGATTAATCATAGGGCGTGATCGTTCCATGATCATATCGGCCATCAGCAATCGATGTTTAGGGGTGCATGCTTCGCCTAGAATGACTTTTGTATTCCTGAATAGTCGTGTGTGTTGTTGTCTAACGAAAATAAAGTTAATTTGTGGGCATGACATCCCGCTTTTATATGTGATCAAATGTTCTACCCATTTGCTTTATCTCCAACATGGCCGTTGAGTCACCACATATCAATGGTATCTCTGATGATGGTGTTTTCCTGACGGCATCTGAGAGTGTGTTCCAGAAGTCATTTTTGGCGACTTCAGATTCACCGGTCTGTGGTGCATATGCAGAGAAAACAGTCAGAACCTGTTTTCCCATTCTGAGTTTAATCAGCATTAGACGTGAACTGATTCGAACTACCTCCAGTACATTTTTGCCAGTGATTCCCGTATGATGATTCCAATTCTATTTTGATCTGTCTTTTGCCCATTCCAGAACAACTTGTAACTCCCAATGAGAGAGACACCATTTGATGTCCATCTTGTTTCCTGCAGAGAACAGATGTCAACCTTTCGCTTTTCCAGCATGTCGATGATCTCCATGGAGCGTCCAGTAAGCGATCCAGTATTTAAAGTGCCAAGTCTGATATTCCAAGAGGGGACACCCGATTTTTCGCAACATCCCTCCACTGTTGCGTACTTCCTGGATATTGTCACCCCTTGACCATTTAAGGTCTTCCAGGGAATAGGAAATTTTTTTTTTTTTTGTGATGACAAATAAACTGTTAAAATTAACGACAGTAAATAGTGACCAATTTTGCTATTGTGATTTTTTTGTAATTTAATAAATAATAATTGTGTCAAATAAATGTGTTTCTGTAAAATGTTCTTTACCCTAATTCCATCACGCGAAGGAAGAAAACAAAATAGTTATACAAATGTGAAGCTACAAGTCAAAACTTACATGTTGAAATAATTAGAAAAAAAGAAAATTTAAGAGAAAAAATAACTATCCATCGCGTATAATAAAATTTGTGAGTGTGTGTGTGTGCGTGATTCTTGTTGCAGTCAAAACGAGTTCAAATTAGACGTAATTAAGTCACCGATGATCAGTCAGTTGGAGTGCCCAGTTACGCAATGGAATGGCGTGCTCGCGTCCGTATGTAATGTGTACGTGTACGTTAGGGTGGGTCGAATTTTTTTATCTTTCCTGTACATGAACAAAAAGTTGTCTTGGCATCAGTACAGTATGAAAATAATATTTAAAGATTTTTTATGAAACGTTTAGGGGTCCCAACTTTTGATTAAAGTCTTACCTTATTTGGTGTATTTTAACCATTTCCTTGGTACAATCTAAATATGTACCAACTATAAATCATTGACTAAAATGCATTGGCAAATGGCTTAGCACCTAACTACAAGTGCTAAAAAAGAAATGGAGTAAATTTTATAACGTTATTTACATGTGACGTCACCAACATTAGCAACAAACCATGTGCTGGATTTTTTTAGAAACAAGCAAAATATCTAATATATTATTTTGTAATTTTATTTTCTTCTTTGCAATAATAGATCTATAGTAAAATTCAAGTAGGCTAATATAGATGTATACTACAGTAGGCTATAGTCTAGACTGTAGATAAATCACTTCATTTAACATGTAGGCCTATTTATGAGAGGGCTAAAACATATTATAGTGTGTATAAATATTGAAATATTTATTGACTAAATTCTTATGAAAAATTGTTTTAACAGCTTTTATTTATTGTAAACATAACTTGTTGTAGTTTTTTTTATTATTTTAGACAAATTATATTAAATATGGATAGTATGTGTACACGAAGTGCAACTAAACATCCATTGTTTGGACAGTTAGTTGATCTTCCTGAAAATCAAATCCCATCATATGAAGACGCTATTAAGGCGTTCTATTATAATCAGAAAACAGTATTAGAAATTAGCTTGCAAGAAAGATATTCAATTTTAGCAGACAGAGTGAAAAGTGTTTATTCAAAAGCAAGTATTCCTACAATAGAAGTGAATAGCACAATCATTAGGATTAGAAGACTTATGGATAAAGTACATACACTTGAAAAATATTCAGATGCAAAAAGAACATCAGACACGTTCACTGAGAAGTTGAATTCTTTTAAGCAGTTATTTGACATTTGTACCTGCAAATGCTTTGATTCGGGCATTAGAGATAGGAACTTATGTACGTGCCCATTGCCAAATAAAATTCCATTGATAGAGTGAGATTTCTGGGTTGATCAGAAAACTGTTAGAAATATGATAATTGGTGGAGTAGATAAAGAAACGACAGCAACACTGGAAAAGAGACAAAAACGCAAATTGAACTTGATGCATTAGATCAGGCTGTGGTTCGTCCTGTTCTCGAAAATAACTGCTACTTTGCGCATGCTGAAAACATTCTCTTAGCTGCAGTTAGTGATAGTGATATGGAAATTCGTCGTTTTTCAGTAGAACAAATAATAAGAGCAAGAGAGAAGCAGACTAATTGTAACATACCAGTTCGCGTCTTTGATAAGAAGGATATAACATTAAATCTGGCTGCGACATCGTTCATTAACATGATTGACTGGGACCAGAGTAATGTTACGTCTCCTCCGATGCTATCACACCTTTCAAATGATCAACTTACACACATCCAATACTACTGCCCGATGTTCCATGTCATTCACAGGCAGTAGAGAGAACAATTAAAGACGTTAGCGCTGCCAGCTGTAAAGTTTATGGGAGAAAGTCCCGTCATGGCATGGTGTTACTGAGTAAGAAATCCAGATTAGAGATACCAAAAATAGACAGCAAGAAAGATTTTATTAACAGTTAGGTTAAACAACTTTGTATTGTTGCTGTTTAACATTGATTCGTTACAGTTTACATTCTTTTTAATTTGTAATACATTGCAATACATTACACTAACAGTGGGTATTTTTGTAGTCTTTCAGTCAGAGTTGGGACCTGTAGACACTGTCCGTAAAATAAAAAGTGAGGTTTTTTCAAACGAGTACATCAAAAAGCAACTTTTTAGACATGTACAGGATCTCCAACTTAATATTTTGTATATTTCGACTCACCTTAGTGTACGTGCGTCGTGTGGTGTGGACAGTACAGCCTTTTGTTACGCAAGTTTAACTACATGTATAGAATAGCATGTAAGCAACTTTGCGTTTGACAGAGCTGCATTGTAAAAAAATGCGCTTGGTTCAAACTTTTTTACGTAAATTATATTTTAGTTGATATTCTCAACACCATTACCATGCTTACATGCGCCTTAGCTGTTATCTTTTTCTCATTAGTCTTGTCTGTCATACTCGGTTTAAGATAAAACATTAATTGTGTATGATAACGTATTTTTGGAAAACGTTGTTTTATTCAGGAAAAACTAAATGCATGAGTAAAGTTGGAGATTGCGTTGTCAAACACCCTGGTCAGTTTGCCACCGGATTGAGACTTGTGGTATATTTAAATTATTTTAGCTTTTCTTTAATATTACACAATAGATAAATCTATTTTGTATCATTTAAATATGTGTTTTTGAGTTCACTGCCTTGTTTGCGAGCATGTATATATGCTTTTGTTAAACTTCCATTAAATGTAGCATATTAATTGATAAGATTTGTTTTTATTTTAATTCGCATGAAAAGCATTAATAAGTCAGCTCGTTTTTCTTTTCAAATATATTAAATTCTCATTAAAAACTCAGGGTGCCATATGTGATTACTGTGAAGCATGGGTATGTCACAGTAAAAAATGCTTACAAACTCATGCCTGTTTGTGTGCTCTTCAAGAATCGACATGTGTTGAGTGTAATAGAACTGTGTGGGATCATGGTTAGTTTTATAAAAAATACTATCAGATGTCATATTGTCAATTTTTAACTATCTTGATGTTATCCTAAGTTTTCTTTTCTTTTTGTGATGTAACCGTTGTTTTGACACTTGTATGTTCCATATTTTTTGACCATATACGTTTGTAGTTTTTGTTATTTTTTCAATTTTCACCAAAAAAGTTATCAATTGCCGATATAAAGGCAGTCAGGGAATCTGCATTAATGGCAACCAATGGCAGCATCTTCCAATCATCCACTACTCTGTTCGAGAAGTAGAATTTATAACAGTTTCTGTGACGAATAGTTGTAGTTAACTTGAAGTTGTGCCCTCTTGTACGATCGTCATTAGCGATAAATAAAGGCCAACATCAACTGAAATCTCCTCGTGTATTATCCTATATACTAAGATAAGGTGGGCTCTTCCGCGTCTGAAGGAAAGAGAGAGCAACTCGAGTTTTTTCAGTCGATCATTGTATGACTTATTTCAGATGAACTTTATCAGAAATAAAACAGTGCTGGCAATCACTTGTGTGTATTGTATTGCTGTGATCAATCACTCGTTTTTTCAATCGTTAAAATCGTTAGAATACAGCACACTAACTTATCGACAGGTAAATAACGGCAATAATTAAGCTTCTCTCATCAGACTAATTATATTGAGTTCTTCTAGCCCTGGCGTTCTTTACTGCAGTTGGTTTGAAAATCTTACTTCTGTCACCAGTGTGTAATCTCCTGAAGTTCCCAGTGTTGTAACCTTTTCGACCTCGTAACTACCAACACTGATGTTATAGCTTCAATACTCGTTATATCTCTAACACCGTGTTGTAGCTTTCAACAATAGTCAAGAATTCTTTTATCCGCAGGTTTAAGATTTTCGATAGATGAACACAACCACTTTAAACGCAAACTAAGTTGAACGTTTATTTAATACCAGCAGTAATAGAAACAATAAATTAATCCAAATAACTATTAGTTTTTATCTCGACCTCACCTCTGTAACAATATAAACACTAAACTATTCCAAGTAACTACATAAATCACAATTAAAACTTCGCATCAATCCTCGCTTGAAACCTGTCTGGAAATATTACTCCGCAGGACCTTATATAGCCTCTACGGTAGATTTTTACAATCAAAAGATTACAATTATAGCAAAGATAACGAATAATGAAGACAAAAAATAATTTGACCATTGTAGCGGTTATAACTGTATATTTTATTAACTAATTTTATTACAGCTTTGAACGTAAAAAATAAGCACTAAAAACCGATTCTATGGCATTAGAAAAACAACGTAAAATGTTTGAAAGCATGTAGAAGTATTATTTTGAACAAAACACAACAACTATTTATTTAGACTCGAGTCTGACAAAATTGAACTCGGACTCTCGAGAATTTCGATGTTTTCTAAGTCCTTACTAAGGATAAACGGGTTTGCAATATTTTTTTTAAATATATAGAATGAATCCATAAAAAGCTCTTGATAAAAATTGATTGTACAACATAATTAAGTTTTATGTGTTGTGTTGATTGAAGAGTTGAAACACAAACTAAATAGAAAACAATAAGCGTAATGTACGTATACTAATTTATTACGTTAAATAAATTTAACGTTCTATAACCAAACGAATTGAAATGAATTGAACGAACTAAAAAGCATGTCACAGTAAAAGTCACATTGTACATTAATTATCGCCCAAAAACAAATAGAATAAATAGTGATGTGCCCTGCACATAACACCTCCCTAACAAGCTAAATTTTGTGGACAAACTTATGACGTATACGTTCCGATCTTCTAGGGAGAGATATCGGGTCGAAAAGCACTTGACTACTTTCAGGCGTGGTAAATTTGACGATTGAATGCCTTGAATCAAATTGGTTCTGGGTCCCAGTGATTTTCCCTGGGTCGCCATCTTGGTTGGCACCGTATCTAGGACGGATTTGCTCTACGTGTCGTTTCCATAGAAGACCATGTGGGATCGATTTTACCAATATGTGTCTTCGACCTAATCATCGAACAACTATTGCAGGAACCCATCTGGCTTGGCGATCTCTTCTTGGGCCATAGTACTTGACATAACACGGTTGACCTATCGAAATCAAACATTTCACCTTATTATAGTTTTCTTCCCTCTTTTCCCTTTTAAAATTGGTCGGAGAATATCAATTTTAGTTCGTATTTGCCTGCCATGCAGTAATTGACTTGGCGAAAGACCGGTTGAAAAAGGAGTTCTTCTGTATTGCATGAAGAACTCTCGTAAAGCAGCTTCGGTCGGCAATGTTGATTTTGCCATAGACCTTTTGAAAGTTTGAACGAACCTCTCTGCCTGACCATAAGTCGCCGGGTGGTATGGGGCGCCTGTAAGGTGCTGAATCCCCCTCTCTTTTAAATAGAGTTGAAATTCTTCACAAGTGAAAGTTGCAGCATTATCAGTTATTATTGCGAGCGGGTATCCGAAATGTGTAAACTCCTGTTCTAGCAAGTCAATAGTTGACGATGCCGTAATTTTTTCGCTGGATGGATGCTAGGGTATTTAGAAAAAGCATCCACGATCACGAGCCAATTGGTTCCCATAAAGTTTATGGCATGGTCAATGTGTAATCTACCCCAAGGTCTATCCGGAACAGGCCAAGGTTCGTTGGTCGCTTTATGAGCATTGTTCTGATGTTCTTGACCTTGACATGATGAACATTCTCTGCACAATCTTTCGATGCCTCTGTCCATGTTTGACCAATAAATCGCTGATCGTGCCAGTTGCTTCATTCGTTGCATGCCAAAGTGTCCCAGATGTAAAAGTTTGAGGGCTTTTTTTAAAAGATTCTGGGATTACCACTCTGTTTCCCATCGGTAAACAGCCTCCTACCTGACTCAAGGAATTTTTTAATTTCATAAAATGTAGAATTTCCTTGCTTGAAATTTCTCTTGGCCAGCCTTTCTGAAGGAATTTACTGACAAAAAATATTCGGATCCTTTTGCGATTCATTCTCAAACAACTGTGGATCTAAATGCAACATTTTCTGGCTGACTGAGCAAATTGTACACACCTTTGAAAAATCCAGTTGCTCCTCTGCAGCATCAAATTTTGGATCTTCACCCATTTTTGTGTTCTGGAGTCTTCCTGTATTTAATCGTGTAGTCATATTGTTGTAAAATTAGAGCCCTTCTTGTCAGTCGGTTTAATGCCAATTTAGGAGTGGCTTTCGTCGGGTCGAATAAAGCCAGAAGTGGCCTGTGATCCGTCACAATTTTGAACTTTCTTCCAAACAGGTATGAATGGAATTTTTTACGGCAAAAATAATTGCACGTGCTTCCTTATGAATCTGGCTGTAATTTCTCTGAGCACTTGAAAGTGTCTTTGAAACATTGAAAACAGGACGTTCTGATCTATCTGGGAATCTATGGAATAGAACGACACCAATACCCACTTCTGAAGCATCACATGCTATTCCCACTGGTAATGATTTGTCGAAATGCGATAACATCACACTTGAAAGTATCATTCTCTTTAAACCTTGAAATGAATTTTCTTGATCCAATGTCCATTTCCACAATTCATTCTTTCTTGTCAGACGATATAATGGTTCCGCAACGCTAGACAAACCTGGAAGGAACTTTTTGTAAAATTGAACAGATCAAAGAAATGATTTTAATGTTGAAACATTTTCTGGTCGGGGCATTGAAACTACGGCATCAATTTTTTTACCTGGGCCTATCCCCTTATGAGAAATAGTATGACCCAAGTACTCAACAGATTGTCTGGCAAATGAACATTTATGGCGATTGCAATAAAGACCCTTTTCTTGGAGACGCTGAAATAGTTTTCTCAAACTTTGGATGTGTTCATCTGCTGATTTTCCACCAATCAAAATGTCATCCAAGTAAACCACAACATTTGGAAGATCATTAGTGAGTCCATCCATGATTTCCTGGAAATATGCTGGAGCCGATAATATACCAAAAAGTAAACGTTTTTGAAGAAACACTCCACGATGTGTGCTTAAAGCAAGATGTTTCTGGCTTTCTTTTGAAAGATGAATCTGATTGTATGCATCGGCCAGATCGATTTTAGAGTAATACAAACTTTCGGCTAATTTTCTCATGAGGTCTTCAGGCAAAGGCATTTGGTATCTGTGAAACTCGAATTGAGGATTAACTGTCACTGAGTAATCACCACATATTCGTAGATTGGTTTTGGAGTTTGTGTCTTTCTTAATTATTGGGACTACAGGAGTTCCTCAGTCATTGAAATCAGTGGGGCTCCAAATTCTTCGTCTCACACAATCTTCCAGAGCTTCATCTACTTTGTCTTGTATTGCAAAAGGAACAGTTCGTGGTTTTCCGAAAACTGGTGTTGTATTTTCTCGTTATTTGATGTCCAATTCAACATTCTTTAGACAACCGAGACTAGGATAAAAAATCTCTTTGAATTCCAGACATAGCTTTTCACAATCGTTTGTCAACTTTGAAAAGTTTGGGCATGAAATTGTATTTATCTGGTCTCTCAACATCTTGTTGATATCTATTTCGAAATCTTTAATTGATTTTCGACCGATTAAATTTAAACCCTGAATGTCTGTTACGTTAATTTTATAGGTTTCCAGTCTAAACTATTTGTAATCGTGGCAACTACTGAGCAAGCACCTCTGACTGGGATTTTATTGTCAGTTGCTGAACGATACTGAGAACTCACCGGAACCAAAGAAGGTGAACCTAAATCTTCCCAGACGCTGACATCGCAAAAATTTTCTCTGGCACCACTGTCCACTTCAAAAGTTTTGTTGAAGTTCTTAAAATGTAGCTCTAGCTGCAGTTGATCATCATCTTTAATAGTTTTTATGGTTAAGACGTTTCTTTTGAATTTTGCAGCGAAACACATTGGCTTTAGGTGACCCATTTTATTGCAGTATGAGCATTTCATCCATTTAAAGGCTGAGGCCTAGTGGCCATGTTTTCCACATCTGTGGCATGACGAATTGGAATTTGGATGGAACTTTCCAAAATTTCTACCTGGTTTGAAAGTCCCTTTTGGATCTTTCATCATCCCTTTTGCATGAACCCCCGTGTTACCTCTGGAATGTACCAGCAGAACCGGATCACTGTGAGATGTACCCCCCCATAGACCGTGTCTTTAGCTACTGTTGCTGCACTTTCAATTTCCGCAATTTCGATAGCTTTGGAAAAAGAAAGCTGAGCTTCTGGAATCTTGAAAAGAGCTTTCAAAATTGCTTCATTTTGAATGTTGCAAATGAAATTTGTCCTCAACGCTTCATCTAATGGGTTTCCAATATTAAGAAAATCACATGTAGCTGCAGACTGTAGAATTCGGTTTGCTAATTCTTAAACTGATTCGCCCGGTTTTTTTTGCAGTTTGTCCAAAATTTGTAGCGTTCCCTAATCAGAAAAGTTGTAGGGTTGAAAGCTGAATTCATATATTTGACCGTCTCCTTGAAATCCAATGAGTTTACATCACGAGGTGGAGACATTTGTTTTGAAACCGTCTCCAGGGTTTTATATATGTCCGAACTCTGATTTGTAAGAAATACCTGAGCTGCCTTTTGCTTCGAGACTGAATTGGCCAGTAAGAAAGTCTCAAACCTTTTGATGTAGTCTTTGAACAACTCCTTTTCGGGCTGGAATGATTCGAATATCGGTACTGGCGTGGCTTGAAAAGATTGCAATATCTTCGCCATTTCTAACTGTTGCTACGACATCATTTCAGCAAACATCTTCATCATCTCCTTCATTTCCGCCATTCTGCTAATTAGTATTCACCGTAAATCAGGGAATATCTGTCGACTGCGCCACTGTTGTGTTTCGTTGTTTTGAAGAGTTGAAACACAAACTAAATAGAAAACAATAAGCGTAATGTACGTATACTAATTTATTACGTAAAATAAATATAACGTTCTACAACCAAACGAATTGAACGAACTAAAAAGCATGTCACAGTAAAAGTCACATTGTACATTAATTATCGCCCAAAAATAAATATAACAAATAGTGATGTACCCTGCACATAACAGTATGGGTGTTTCCGTTAACTTTTGAATTAGTCGCATGCTCTGAAGTCGTTGTTGTTGAAAATAAGTTTAGTATGCCATAATAATTATTTGTAGGTAATAAACAAAAAAAAATATAATTTATCTATTTATTTATTTATTCGCTTTTAAAAATTTCTGTTTATCAGGTGGACGAGTTTTCAAATGTTGCTTCTGTAATGATTTTTTGTGCGAAGATGATCAATTTGAGCATCAGGCCAACTGTCAAAAGCTTGACTCTGAATCCTATAAATGTAATATATTTTTGAATCCTATAAATGTATAATGTTTTTTGATATCTGGAACATAATACAAAAAAAAAATAAATATGACGATAGTCATAATAACAGCAATATCGCTCTTATATATTAATGTTTAATTAATACAAACAGGTATGTCATGTAATAAGTTAGGACAATTTTCTTGTTTGAAATGCAAGGTTAGTTTTTCACTACCGTATGATTTACATTTCACAACGTCATCTTACACATGGTTTAATAATATTTTTTTATTGAGGATTTTGGGTCTTGATGCTTTTACATATATGCACATGTATTTCTTTGTATTCTGTAGGATTACAGAAAAGTTTTAACCGGTTCACATTTTCACTGATTTTTACACATTTTTATAAGCATCTAAAACTTACCGGAAACTTGTCCCGTTTTTTCATGCATAATTTTATGTGGAAAAAGCACGTTTTAGTATCATTAAATTTGTTTTAACTTTTTCAAGCTTTTTTTACATCAAAGTTAATAATAGTCTCACTTGATGGCAAAGCGGTACAAACATTATTTTCGCAAACGCACTCGTTTTGTCTCATTGATACGCTCAAAACGCTTAGAAACGAAAACGTGGATGTTCATGATTATCTGATGTATTATATATGTATGTATCTGTTCATGAGTTATTATTTCCTGGTTTTGTTTAATTTTCCTCAATCACAGTTTTTATTATTTTGCCGATTCGATAGTAATTTTAAATGAATATTTTTGTACAGATATGTTTTTGTGATGATCATGTAAAAAGAAAAGGAATCAAATATGTAAAATGCCAAGCAATACCTTGCCCAAAATGCAGTCACCCAACATCGGAAACAAAAGATTTCAGCATATCGAGTTTGTTCAAATATCTTTTTTTATTTGTTATCATAGTAATTACCAGAATTATTCTTCTGATCAGTATCGTTATTAACATTTGTTAGCTCAACTCAAATTCAAGACTGGCTCGAGTGTTATTTTCGGCTTGTTGTAGTGGCATGTTTGCACACTTTGATGATTAATTATATCTTTCCAACTTTTTTGCAACTTCAAAGATTTCATCTAGTCTGTAGCGCATGAGTCCCGATATATGAAACAATATATTCCAAAATCAATATTAGCCGAGTTTTATCGATTATTTAATATGGCTTTTTCCAGATTATTTAAACCGGCTAAGCTACAAATTTTACCAAAAAACCTCCCCGAGATATTTATATTTTTAAACTACGTATATAAATTGACCTCGTATCGTTCTTGCTTTCCAATATATGTATCTTCACGTCATCACTTCATTATTTCTTATTGGTCACTGCGTGATGTTGATGAATCTCAAGCCATCCACATCTTTCCGGTTGTGCATTGATTCCAAATGCTCAAATATAATCACGAGGAATAATTTATGGTCACAGTATGTTACAGTTAGAGAGTTATATTCAGGCTGTGCATTGATTCCAAATGCTCAGATATAATCACAAGAAATAATTCATGGTCACAGTATGTTGCAGTTATATTTATATATATTAGAACCACAGCCATCTAAGAATTGCTGAAGCGATCTTCATTGATCTAAGAAAACTGCAAGTCAACAAGCAGCAAAGAATTGAAACAGCATTACCGACCAGAAGAATATTATTAAAAGACTTTATAAGCAAAGGAAATGAACAGGACAGACTCGCCGATCATGGATTCAAAGTCAACATCAGCAAAACCAAAGCAATAAACACTACTGAACCCATCCAATCTGTAGCTACTGGATGATAGGCCCAGTTCAGTTTGTAAAGGTAACAATTAAATCAAATGTCAGCAGTGTAACCAGTGGTGTCAAAAACGTTTTCAAAAATAATTGGTACTTTATCTAAAGTGTCCAATTTTGTTTGTCCTGCTTGCATCAATCCACAACAAAAAATTGGAAATAGCAATGTTTTTGAAGCCATTAAGGTAGAGAAAGTCACATCGTTTTAATATTTAGAAGATGTTCTGAATTGTACTGGAACAGCTGAAGCAGCCGTTCGAGCACGCATACGTGCAGCCTGGAATAAATGGCATCTCCTTGCCTCTATATTGATGCGACGTGACATCCCACTACAACTACGATCAAGACTTTATAAATTTGTGATACGTCCGGTGTTGTTATATGGTGCAGAAACATAACCAATGACAACCAAACTGGAACAACAACTTCAACGAACCGACTTGAAAAGGCTCCGATGGATGCAACGAATTAGTCTGAAGGACCACATCAAATCTACCGAAATCCTTCGTCGTGCTGGTTTAGATGATATAAAGGACGAATGCCGGCAACACCGTCTGCGGTGGTTTGGTCATGTCAAACGAAGTGGAAACGGTGTCATAACTTCTCTTGCAGATGTTGAAGTACCTGGCACACGTCCCAAAGGCCGTCCAAAGAAGTCCTGGTCGCAAACAATCAAGCAAGACATGAAAGCTCTAAATTTAAATGAAATGGATACAACTGATCGTTTAATTTGGCAAAAAAAACAACGTCCTACCTCGGGAAACCGGGTCTCTGGACGCAAAACGAAGATTGATTGATTGATATATATATATATATATATATATATATATATATATATATATATATATATATATATATATATTGCAATATATATATATTACACAAAACTATTATTGACTAGCCTTTTGATTTAATGATATAGCCAGACGACCAATTTCACAAAAATATCCGCCTTTTAATGGGTATATGTAGTATTTATTAAACTATCAATAACTTAGTCTAGTTAACGTACCGAATGACTACAGTTCAACCGTTACACAGTTCTTTTTTTCCATCCATCTAAACCATCTAATTCTAATATTAATAATAATTGTTTTTTTTCTAATTCTATTTTTTAGTTTTTTTTATTTTTTAAACGCAAGGTAACGCAAAACTGCTTATATGTTACTCCATATTTGTAATTAAATTTTTGTGCCACAAAGACTGTACACTATCCACGTCACACCACACGATTCACATAAACATTGTATCATACGCGTACCTTTTGAGTTTTGGACAGACAGTATCCGAACCATGCCATCGCGTAATAGCACTTACACGTTACACTTCTACCGACTGAGCTTACTATGTAACCATAGTAACTCTTTATATGTGAATTTGAGTCCATATAGTTTTGTCAGGTTATCAACAAAAACTTCCGACCTTTTAAATTCTAATGTACTAAGTTTTTACCTTTCAAAATGACAAGATAATTTTTTAATTTATATTTTCTCCATCTCTCTGGTCCATCATTATTACTAACGTTTCTTCAAAACAGCAGAATCAGTACTGTCTCTAACCCGACCTCTGCTGCATCTAAACATTTACCATTATATGTTTTTAAGCCTTCTTTACAGCCATTAAACTTTATTTCGTTTCTGGATTCTGGAAGACAAGGGTTATATATCTTTTAAGTTCACGTTCACTCAAGATATTTTTAATTTAATCAATGTTGGGTAAATAAATTTAGCATTGTTTGGTCAAGCAAATAATTTTCATCTCTCAATAATTTTAAGTTCATTGATTCATTTGTTTATTTATTTGTTTATTAAAATTTGAAAGTTATTGATACATTTACCAGTATTTTTTGTCTTCATAGCTAAAACTATCTCATTTGGAAAACAAAAATTTATTGGCGATGAAGATGACGACTATGATTACGAGCCAGATTTTAGAGATGATAGCCAGAATGAATGTGAAGAAAACGATTACGGTTATTTTTTTTTTTAATATCACTTTTCATGAGTAAGCTTTTTCGTCAACAGAAGAAACAAAAAAAATTTTTTTAATCGAAAAAGATAACTGAAATTTTTCTACAACTAATAAAGGTAGGATGGAAAAATTCAGAAAAATAACTTCAGTGCTGTGTTCCTAGTTCATTGGGCCTGAACAGTTAGGTATATAAAGCATGTGTAAGAAGTTTCCTGTTGTATGGGTGGGAAACTTGAGTATGGCGGCTGAAAACTTAAGAGGGCTTGAGAGAACAGAAATGCAGAAATAGGAGTATCCTTGAGGAATGGTTTGAGTAATGAGGTAATAAAAAAAGATTTAGGGATAAATGAGTTTTCAGATGTAATTTAAGGTATTAGAATGAGATGGTTCAGCCAAGGGAAGAGAAATTAAAATGACTGGATGAAGAAATGTATAACTATTATAACTGGCGTTTTAAGGAAAAGTGGCTGACTCAAGCACACCTGGAAAGAAGTGTTGTTAAAGGAAATGAGGGCACTGGCCCAGAATAGAAAAGAATGGAAAAGATGATTAAATGTGTGTTATGCGATAGGACCAACCCTTGTAACGATGATGATAATGATGGAGGATCATCGTTGTCATCATCATTATCATCTACGTTTATAGTTACTCAACTTTAGAGGCGAGCCGTCCAGTTTTCGTTCCAGGGTCTGTTGACTGAAGCCTATGGTTTGCCTTGTCACATGATTACTGTCTTTTCCGTTTTTCTCTATTCTTGGCCAGTTTTACACAAACACATAAATATATATGTGTTTGTGTGTGTATATATAATTCATATATATATATATATGTATATATATATATATATATATATATATACATATATATATATATATATATATATATATACATATTGAAAGGAGACCATATTTTAACACCAGTAATAGAATTCATACAATACTCTGTGTGTGTATGTGTGTGTGTGTGTGTGGATATATATATATATTGGTAATAGACCATAATTTTCACAATATTCTATAAATTCTACCGAATGTTTGGCGTTAATATGTTTGTAGTTCGTTTTTTCGATTTTTCTCACTAAAGTTTTTTGGTGAACGTTTAGTTTATTAAAATTCAAAATAAACTTATTTTTCGAATTCATGCTGCAAATAAGGCTATATTTCGATTCCGAATGAATCATCGTCAGTGCTCCTTGTTGTATATATAGGGAAATATTGACTTTGTCAAGATTAACTTTGACGTTGTAAAAATTATGCGCATCAAATGCGCATCAAATTCTAATTCACCTAATTCGCATCAAAGTC